CCTCATAAAGAGGCTCCAGAGAGACCCTGAGCCCTTCCACGATGTTGGCCCACAGCAAAAAAGCACTGGCTATGAACCAGGCAGAGGATACTCAAAAAAGGTGACCATGATGATGCCTTGATCTTGGACTTCCAGTCACCAGAACTGTGACAAATAAATTTCTGTTGTTTTTGAGCCACCTAGGTGTGGTATGTCCAAACAGCAGTACACACAGACTAGGATGGGGGCAAACTATTAAAGCATAGCATGTCCTTTTATTAAGTAACTAAAACAAGATTCAAAACTAAACATTTTTCTTTTATGTCTTAGGATGCAGAAATAACCCCTAAAAAGACTGTATCTCAATGGCCATTCCATCTCTGCCTCTATCTAAATTTTCTCTTATTGCTTGAAAAAAAAGGTCTGAAGTCTTAAAAAATCAAGAATTTCCAGTCTAGAAAAACCAGTTCCCTTTAGATATATAACATCAAAGAGCAGGGAGAAAAAAAAAAAAAAAAAACTAGCAAACTGAGATAGCTGGACTTGATTTACAGCTGGATTAGATTTTAATATTCCAAGAAAGAACTCCTAGTGACTTCAGGAAATAAAGTGCTGCTGCTGCTGTTACTATACCAGCACTTACTGAGCTCTCACTATGCTGAGAACTTCACATACCTGGACTCATTTGATCTTAAAAATAACCCTATAAGGGTAAGAGGGGTCAAACAACTTGCTCAAGGTCACACAGCTATAAGTGACTGAGCTAGGTAGGGAAGCAGATTCCTGCTGCCAAAGCCTACACTCCCAGCTCCTAAGTTATATGGCTCTCCTTGTTACAGGAAAAATACGAACATTCAACAGCTCAGTTTTCACTGGGCCTTCACCAGTTCATCAGCATCTGATGCATCCCAGATGCTTTCTCAGCTCCCTGTGTCCTTTTAAAGAATCACAGGCAATTCCAATGCGTTTAAGCAAAATTAATGTTTAATTTATAGGTTGGGAAGGAAGTAATGACTTACTGAGCACTTACTGTGCTAAGGGCTTTACATACCTTATCTCATTTAATCCCCACAACTGCTCCACGGACAGACAGTATTCTCACCATTTTCTAGGTGAGACAACTGGACTCAGGAAAAGTTTATATCTAATGAATGACAAAGCCAAGGTCTGAACCCAGGTTTGGGTATCTCCAAAGACTATGCTCTTTCTCCTGTACCTTGGGGATGGGAGACTCTGGGGCTTTCTATATCATGTTCCCCACAAAGGGGCAGGGTTGAGAACTCAAGTAGGTGCTGAGGGGGTAGACTATAGGAATGAAAGAATAATATGTCATGTTAAATTAATCAACGTTGGCTTCCTGGAGACATGCTATGTGAGTCGTTTCAAACGAGAGGGAGGGGCAGAACTGATAGAGAAGCACCCAGGTATCAAGAAGAGTATGGAAAATGTACAAAATCTAAAAATCCTTGATACAGCCACCTGTATCATTACCAAACTCTTAGAATATAAGCAAGTGAAATACATTTAAGCAAATCTTACTATGTTTGCAGAAAGTAAACCTCTCAACAGTATGTACATGTCAAAAGAATTAACAATTCTCTTTCAGATGTCGGTTCAAACTAGGACAGGTTATTAATACTTTAACATAGCTGATCTCTAACAAATGGTCATTTGTTGGCTGATGTAAAAAGAGCTGGCAATTTCCCGTGGCAGCTTTTACTGGTAAGTCCATATTTCAACGCCACTCCCGGCTGCCAAAAAGTATCAGTTTCAGCAGAAATTCAGAGTTAAATTCCTGCAGGTTTGGGATGGGGCACCTAATGTGGGGAGAGCTCACTGCCAGAGTCCATATACAGAGAACATGGTTTTTCTGAAATTTTTATTACATTTTCATAAGCATATAACCTTTCAAAACAAACAAACACTAATAACAAAACAGGAAAAATTTTCTCTAAAAACCACATCTGTCTATGCATATCAATCTATAATCCTGAAGTAACCATTAACCTTCAGTCATTTAAAAACTTGGCATTATTTCCCAAAAGATCTTTTTATTTCTTGAAGCTAGAATCTAAATGAAACATTAGTTTTTCTTCCTACTGAATGCAAACATAATTATTTTTCTGCCCACTCATTTTGAGGGAAAAAAAATGCTGCCCACACCAGATGCCCTCACTGCTGCTCAGCTTTTCCTTCATTAATCTCTAGTTAATTCCTTATTCAACAGTACACATAACACTGCTCTTAATATTTTCTCCAAGCTCTGAACTCTATTCTAAGAACTCTGTCAAGCTCCTCTATACCTCAAAATGCCCCTGAGTATTTATCTACCCTCTCAGAGAAAGAAGTATCCATCCCTCCTTGCTAAGGCTAACCCTCCTTCCACCTGTGTTCATGATGTCATCCTCTCCTCCAGGACCTTCTTCAATTATGTTGTGGTAATGAACTCTGGGCTCCCCGGCAGCTCAGTTGGTAAAGAATCTGTCTGAAATGCAGGAGACTACCTGCAATACAGGAGACCTGCGTTTAATCCCTGGGTCAGGAAGATCCCCTGGAGAAGGAAATAGCAACCCACTCCAAGATTCTTGCCTGGGAGATCCCATGTACAGAGGAGCCTGGTGGGATATGGTTCACGAGGACTAAACTACCACCACCAATGAACGCTACCATCTTTGACAGACCTCCTCCTACTTCACAGCTTCCAGGTACCATCAATTTCACTCCAAACACTCCTGGCAACTGCCATATAACAACGTCCTTTTTTCTTACTGCCAACACTTGGACTATCCTTTTTGCTTAAGTTAGATGGTGGTATCATACTTCCTCCTAACTGCTCTCTCTGCCTCTGATTTCTTCCTTTCTAATTCATCAGGTCTAATACAGCAACTTCATCCTCTAAAACGCAGTTCTGACTTTTTTTTTTTCCTACTCAAAAAGTTTTAATGGATAGATTATATATCAAATCACTTTCAAAGTTCATAGGATAGCCCTCTAAAAAGCTAGTTCTTATCCCTCTTAACTGTACCAGGCTCTCTCCAAGGACAGAAACATAGCATACACTATAGCTACCATTCACTGAATGCTTACAAAGCATCACTCATTCACTCTGCTGTTCGTTTTTATTACCTATTTTATTGAAGGCCTACCAGGTATCAGGTATTATTCTAGGCACTGTGAATACAGCAGTGAACCTAAGAGGCAAATGTTCTGCCTTCATGCAGCTTACAACTCAAGTGGGGGACGGACAATAAGCAAATAAATAAGATACAGTATATCAGATGGAGGTAAGTGCTACAAAGAAAAATGTCAGAAAAAGACAATAGGGAATGGTAATGAGGTGTGATTTATAAGTGTGGCCAGGGAAAGTCTCACTGACCAGGTGACATTTGGGCAAAAATCCAAAGGAAATAAAGGGACCAGCCATGAGGATAGCTGAGAGATGATAATCCCAGGCAGTAGAAAAGCTCCTGAACTGGGAACACCTCCATGTTCAAGTAAGGAGGCCAGTGTGACTGGAGCAAAGTGAGGAACATGTAGTAAGAAAGAGAAGACTAGGGCCAATTATGTGGTGTGATAGTAAGAACTCTTAACTTTTACTCTGTGAGTTGAAAGTCACTGAATGGTTTTGAGCTGAGAAGGGTCAGAATGTGACTTTGAGTTTTAAAATGATCACTCCAGCTGGTGTGTGTGAAGAAGAACCCATAGAGGGCACGGTCAGAAACAGAGACCAGGCAAAAACAATGGAGGACCAAGGCGGCAGTAGTAGAGGAAAGAATTTGCTGGTGGATTAGACCATGGAGTGTGAGAAAAAAGAAGAGGCAACATAGATGCAAACTATTACATTTAGAACAGATAAACAACAAGGCCCTGTTGTGTAGCACAGAGAGCTATATCCAATCTCTGGGATAAGCTATCATGGAAAGGAACATTTAAAGAAGGTATACATGTGTACAATGATTCACTTTGCTATATAGCAGAGACTGGCACAACAGTGTAAATCAACTATACCCAATTTAAAAAAACAAAAAGAAGAGCCAAGCATGACCTCCAACATTTTAGGCCGAGGAACTGGTAAGACAGAAGAGCAATTTACCAAGACAGAGAAGACAGTGGAAGGAGAACACAATTAAAGGGCAGTGGGAGGAAGATCAATATGGTTTCAAACGCATTAGCTCTGAGAAACCTATTAAACATACAGGTAAACTCGTTAGTTAAGCAGCTGAATGTACGCCTGGAGTTCAATGTTTGAGTTCACACTGAAGATACCTGGGAGTCATCAGTGTAGACATGGTCTGAAAAGCATGAGATCAGATGAGAGCCCCAAGGAGTGAAGGTAGATAGAACCGAGCCTTAGAGCACCAACATTTACACACTTAGAGATGAGGGAAAAAATGGGAAGAGAGGCCAAGAAGGAACAGCCAATCAGTAGGAAGAAAGCCTAGAAGAGTAATATTATAAAGGCTGGGAATTAACCACTGAAGTTAGCAGGGCAGTGCTTACTTGTGACCTTGACAAGAACAGTTATGGGATAATGATGAGCTGACAAAAGCTGACTGGAGCAGGTTCAAGAAAGCCTGGGATGAGATGAAGTGGAGACAGCGGGTACAGTTAGGTCTTCTGAGGACATGTAGCCATACATTGAACCATGTGCTTCACAGGTTAATTAGGGGATCATTATTTCTCTTAATCTACAGATGAATCCTATGAAATAGGAACCATTTATTATTTCCATTTACAAATGTAAAAAACAAAGCTCAGAGAAGTGAAATAATTTAAGGCCAGAATCTGTGAGTGGCAGGACCAGGACTCTAAACCCAAGCTTGTCTAGTTCCAAAGCATAAGGCTAGCCACAGTGATGGAGCCTCTCAATCTTTGGGAAGAAGCAGCTGGGACCTAGTCCTATTCCCAAAGATTCCCCAGTGCTTCACAAGGTTCTATATCTAAAGCCAGCCCTTCTGGGGCCACCAAGACAGGCCCCATCTTCCTCTGTGAGCTGTCAGCGAGGTCATCACTGCACCGACCTGAGTTAGGCAGCACTGATCCTTTGCCGTTCTTCACGTCCACCACCCAGGAGGCTTCTTTACCCCCAGGGCCATCCTTCACCTTGAAGGCAAAAATACCACCAATTTTCTTCACAAACTGCTCTCCTTCCTGGCAAGAAAAACAGCACAGAGTTATATTAAGTTCACTCCTCTGGCTTTCTCCCCAAATTAAATGTTTAAATAGATACATGACGTGAGCTGCTGGGCAGCAGGCAAGTCCCCAGGCTCCCTTAGGCTTTTTCACCCAGAAAAATCCAAAAGGCAACTAGGCAGCAACTCCTTCATCCCAGATCTTCTGATGAAAATGGCTGTCTGGATACAACCGGTGGAAGGACAAGGGGAATGGGGGAGTGGGTGGCACAGCAGCACTTTCTATTGAAATAGGCTTCATTTGTCTTAATAATGTCTGAGAAATTCACTCTGGCCTCTCAAAATGTAGGAACCCTAACTCTTCTATTTTATTTTTGTGTGCAAGTAAATTTCACATATATTTTTAGTGGTTCACAATCAGAATTTAAAGATAAGTGATTTAACTGATTTCCTGGGTTTGTATGAAGAATTATACAAGTAATATCCCATCCATCAACTACTTCTGGATCTTGGGAAATGAGGCTGGAAAAATAACCTCAGATCCATATCTCTGTAGGGTGGTTTCCTTTCTCCTTCCTTCTCCTTCCAACATCACTATCTAATTTTAGAACATACTTAACAGCTCCCAAAAAAACCCATATCCATTAACAGTAACCCTCTACCATTGCCATTCTCTCCTCCTTCTAGCCCCTGGCAACCACTAATCTACTTTCTGTCTTCACTGATTTGCTTATTCTGGATATTTCACACAAATCCAATCAAACATATATGTTCTTTTGTGACTGGCTTCTTTAACTTAGCATAATGCTTTGAAGGTTCATCCACACTGAAGCATGTATCAATAATTAATTACTTTTCATGACCAAAGAATATTCCATTGAATGGACACAGTACATTTTGTTTAGCCTTTCATGTTTGATGGCTGTTTCCCCTTTTTTAGCTATTATAAATAATACTGCTATGGACTTTTGTGTGTAAATTTTGACATGGACATAAGCTCTAATTCCTCTTGGGCATATTATTTAGAAGTGAAATTTGGATCATAAGGTGATGTTTAACTTTTTGAGGAACTATCAAAATGTTTTCTAAAGTGGTTGCACCACATTTACAATCCTATCAGCAATCAATCAAGGTTCCAATTTCTCCACATCCTTACCAGTATTTATGTCTGTCTCTTTTCTTTTGGGATTCCCTGGTGGCTCAGATGGTAAAGAGTCTGTCTGCAATGTGGGAGACCTGGGTTTGATCCCTGGGTTGGGAAGATCCCCTGGAGAAGGAAATGGCAACCCATTCCAGTACTCTTGCCTGGAAAATCCCATGGATGGAGGAGCCTGGCAGGCTACAGTCCATGGGAGTTGCAGAGAGTTGGACACAACTGAGCAACTTCACTCACTCACCTTTATTTTAGTCATCTTAGTGGGTGTGTAAATCTTTTTCTTCTACATAGATAACACTCCTGAACCTATCTAGAATCAACCCTGAGTCTTAGGACTTCAAAGAAGCTATTATAAAAATATTTAATGTAGGCCTACTTATCTCAACTTCCCTGGTGGCTCAGATGATAAATTGTCTGTCTACAATGCAGGAGACCTGGGTTCGATCCCTGGGTCAGGAAGATTCCCTGGAGAAGGAAATGGCAACCCACTCCAGTACTCTTGCCTAGAAAATCCCATGGACGAAGGAGCCTGGTGCCCATGGGGTCGGAAAGAGTCAGACACAACTGGGCGACTTCACATACATACTTATCTCAACAGCCACTGAGGCAAATCTTACAAGTGAGTGTTCTGAAATCAACTACCAACATTTTCTAGTTAAATCAAGAAACCAAAATGACTGTCAGATTTTTAAAGTGAAGAAGAGAAATTCTCTTATTTTGGCTTCCCTTAAAAGATCTCACTCAAATTATTTTAAGTTAACATTACGAAAAATTGATAACAATGTTAATCTTTTGGGGGCTATAAAGTTTTCAAGCACTTTTTAATAAACATTATTTCTTTACTTTTCATGAAACCCTGGAAGTAGCTGGACAGGTATTAATATTCTTCATTCCCACCCAACTTCATAAACTCAGTTCACATGCTAAGTCCTTCGGAAAGGCTTTTCTGTCTCTACTGGACACTTTAATAGCTCTTTGCACATACACCCATGTGCAAGTTTCTTGTTTGTTTTGTTTTTCTGGGAAAATTTTTTCTTGTCTGCTTTCCCATTTACCTCTACGTTCCCTGAGAAACAGGGACATATGACAAGTAAAGTAATACAACCAGAACTCAATCTCAGGTTGGTTTAACTTCAAATTCAATGCTCTTTCTGTTTTTTCATACCAAAGGCAAATTAGGTTACATCAATACTTCCAAACTTTAGCCCATAAAAGTAGTTTCTGTCACCATACATAAATTAAAAGAAAGTTCAAAGTCTTTTCCACATTCATTGAAATCCTTTATCCTTCAATGTTCTGTGGAGGTAATCTAGAAAAGTAGATTAGTAATACTGGTGTGCTGGACCACCCAAAGAGCCAGACCTCCTCTGGAAGTCAATGACCCATGAACTTCCAGCTGCATTTATGCCATCTGTTTGCACAATACCTCAGGAATAGTTATGGCAGACAGCAACAAATTAGAGCAGGAAAACACAGCAAACATTCAGGAATTCTACCTGAATACTTGGAAATTCTTCCCACTTCCTTAAGATGGATGTAGATTAATTTTGCAGTGCCTGTTACTTTTGAGAACCAACAGATCCTCTTAAAAAATCATATCCTTTGGTCAATAAAACATTTTCACTTGAAGAGGAAATGAGAGAGGGTAAGGAAAAGGACAAGGAGGACAGAGTTAAACGGGTAAAAAAACTACACATCTCTTGCGAAACTAGAGATCACAAATACTAAGAAAGTTCTAAGTGCCTCCTTGCTTGAAGAAAAGCACTTCTTTCTGAGTAGCAAAAGGTCAAGGAGTAGGTCCTGTGGTAAACTGAATAGGAACAAAAAATTAAGACAGAATTCAAAGAAGGGCAATGGGGTACTGGTAACGAAGACGAAAGTGGAAATAAAATCTCCTGCCAGGCTTCTTTTTTCCTAATGCAGAAAATGTATGAATTGACAAAAGATTCCAATACTTTCACTTTCTAGTGCTGCAAACATTTAGGAAACTGACAATCGTGGGAAGGAGAGAAAAAAATAAGGGGACAAGGTCCACACAAGAGAGGTTATAGAGGGAGAAGAACTAAAATGGGAGCAAGAGGCATACATTTGCAAAGCTAAAAAAGACTGTGAAATAAAAACAACACTGTTTGTTAATTCTAGTAATGAAGTACTCAATCATTGACATACAGCCATACCAGACACTCTCTAAACTTTTTTTTGGACAGAATAATGTTGGAAAAATGGGACAACCTGGTAGAAGTAACTCCTCTATGGGTTACTCTGCAGACAAATATTGGTGGCATGAAAAAAACTTTTTTCAGGCCTTAGAGAGTCCAACTGCATTTTAATGGACACTTGTAATAAAAGAAATTTTAAAAACAATAAGGAAATATAATCCTACTATTGAGAAAGATTAAAAAAAAAAAAGCCAGCCAACAAAGCACTGTGGATAGAAAAACTTATCTCATGAATGGTCATTGAGTTTGTAAATTAGTACCTTTTTTTTTGGTGGATATACTGGCAATTTGCATAAAAAAGCTAGACATACATATCTCACAACCCAACAATCCCCCCTTCTAATTATTTGTGCTAAGCTGATAAGGGCATTAAGTACTTAAAGATAAGTGCAAAAGGAAATTTATTATACCTTTATTTTTTGCAAGATTTAAATACAACCTGATGTTCATCAGAGGAGGCTAGTTAAACAGATTATGATACCTATATTCAAACGTGTACTATGGGGTCATTAAAACCAATGATAAGGTTTTACATTTATGGGCAGGGAATATGCTATCAAGAAATACAAGCTGGTTGTAAAACAACAGGTAGATCAATGCAATTATATCCTTGCAAGATGGCGGCAGGATAGGTCTGCAAGCTGCTGGGGCAGTGCCTGCCTGCTGGGAACAATCAGCCCTGGCCCTCTCTACCTGAGGAAGACTGGTGATCATTATGAAAATTCTAGAAATGCAGGGTACTTTGTCAAGACACGTCAGTCACATTAGCTATTCAGTACAATCACACCCACAGCACAATCACCTTAAGATGCTAAGAAATCCTTTGTGCTACAATAAGGGAGTTTCAAGATATGCACAATGGTTGTCTTCACACTGCTCCCCTAACATGAGTGAAATGCACACCTTAAATGTTTTGAATCATTTTCTTTATTTCAGCCCACTAGTTAGCTTTGTAGATGGGTAATTGGAATTACATGACTCTTGCTGTAACTGTTCCTTGTTGGTCGCAAAATTAAAATCAATTATGAAATTCCAAGATGCCTTTAAGTTTGAAACTATGAAGTCGTGTCTAATTTTGCCTGAAGAGAACAACTCTCTTTTTGGAGAAAGAGTTACTATTAGATTGCTCTAGTATGATTATTATCTACCAAAAACTGATTACTATACATAAGCACAGGTCCACATATGTAATATAAATTTAAAAACTCAACATGTATTGTATGATCCTACTTATGTGAAATTGTATGTTCATATACACAGAGAGCTGTCTGAAAGAATATCAACCACTGTTAACACTTTAGTGAGTCATTTCAGGAGATTTTAAATTTTTCTTCTTTGTATGTTTCTGTATGATTCTTTTAATCAGCTCATTTTTAAAACAAGAAAAAAAAGATTTTAAAACTTTGAGACTCAAGCACAAAAAATTTATTTTTAAAAGGACTTTTGATATTAGGTACCTTTGCATACACGTGTGCTCAGTCCTGCCTGACTCTTTGTGACCCTGTGGACTGTAGCCCACCGGGCTCCTCTGTTCATGGGATTATCCGGCTAAGAATATTGCATTGGGTTGCCACTTCCTCCTCCAGGGTGTCTTCCCAACCCAGGGATCAAACTTTCATCTCCTGTTTGGCAGGTGGATTCTTTGCCATTGGCAGGTGGATTCTTTACCACTGAGTCACATGGAAAGACCCATTGGCACTTTTAAGGCTCCTTTAAGTATTATTCTTTTGAATGGCTCTAGGTAAGATCTTTTTATTCAGAAAGAAATGACACCAAAATAAATTAGAATCACTTTACATAACTGGAACCTGAAGATTTATAAATTTCTGAAATACACTCTTACCAGAATTACAAGGAAGCTATAACAGACACTTGAAAATGTAAAATACACTGAATACTTGACAATATGATATAAATTTTCAATTCATACCACTTCATGGAAATACCCAAAATCTATATCTGCTGCTTCTAGCTCAGGGTCCTCCTGGTAGTATTTTACATAAATTGTACTTACATCTTCTGACAATATGATATAAATTTTCAATTTGTATCACTTCATGGCAACACCTGAAATCTATATCTGCTTCCTCTAGCCCAGGGCCCTACTGGTAGTATTTACATAAATCATACTTGTATCTTCAAGCTTCTTCTCAATCTTCATAAAGACAAGATCTACCTTAAATTAATCAACTGCAGAGCTGTTTGGAGCAGCCTCAATTTGATGAGTTTTAAAAGAACTATGGAAAATAATCAATTTCAATCCATGGAGTCACACAGGTACTAGGTTTTTTTTTTAACATTTATACAGTAAATGTTGTATAAATGTAGTAATTTTCAAAAACCCTAAGAGAGATGCTGTACTCTTACCTAAAGGAAGCTGGTATTGTCAAAAAAAAACTTAAAAAAAAAAACCCCACAAGATTTTCTTCCTATTTTTTCAACAAATACTGGGTGCTCACTAGGCAGTAGGTATTGTCTTAAAAATATGAAAAACCAACAAACTTTACCCTCATGAAGCCTCTGTGCCAGTGGGGGAGACAATGAATATGCAAAAAAAAAAGGAAGAAGATAGTTACTATAAAGAAAATAAAGCAGGTTAAGGGAATATAAAGAAAGCATATTTGTGCATGTTGGGTGGTTTATTTCAGATAGCCTAGTCAGTCAGATGGGCTTCACTTGTTGCTCAGCTGGTAAAAAAAAAATCCACCTGCAATGCAGGAGACCTGGGCTCGATCCCTGGATTGGGAAAATCCCCTGGAGAAGGTACCTAGCAGAGATCCTAGTCCATGGTAAAAAATGACAATCATGACTATCACAAGCTGCAGAGGATCAAGCGTTAGATGACTCAAGGTTTTGTGAAAGATGAAGGCACCTTAGGATTTGTAATTCCTCTGAAATAATACAAGCATGCTGGTAATGGTTGGCCTAGGATTGGAACAACAAACACCAGCTGGATATACTTTTGATGGAGTCAAGAGCCTAGCAGCTGCTCAGTTAAGCAAAGCCTTTCTTTCCTTCTTTCCCTACCCCTTCTCCTTCCTTTTCTCTTCCTCTCTCCCACACATCTTATCCATTTCTCCTTTCCTTTCCCTTCCCTTCTATCATTTCATACATGTTTAATGATGGCTTGCCACATGACAAGCCTTGTTCAAGATACTGGGAGTCTAATGGTGAACAAGTGAGACCCAGTCCCAGTCCTCACTGAGTTTTTATTTTTCCAGGAGAAAAAGAAGTAAACACACAAAAATAATTGCAAGTATTAGAAAACAAACAAAAAGAGAAACCTACTCTAGGTAAAGCACTCAAGAAATGATGTCTCTGAGCAAGTGAATTTAAGCTAAGACCCAATTAATGGAAGAAAAAGAGCTAGCCATTCAAAGAGGAAGCTGCAAAGATCATAAGGGAGAAAACAGTTTGTTATGTTAAAAGAAAGTAAAACAGGACCAGTTACTAGAGTACAGTTAATGGGGGGAGAATAGCATGAAATGAAATTGGAGAACTGGGCAGGGACAAGACCATGCAGGCCAAACTAAGGAATTCGGGAACTCGCTGAAATGATTAAACAGCAAAGTGAAAGTTTGATTTGTGATTATTCTTACAACAATGTGCAGTGGCCAGGCTGGGATGCAAGAACTTAGGTGGGGAGAGAGTTATGAGGCTGTTGAAATGGTCCAGATAGGAAGTGGTGGTGGTCTGGACTACAGTGGAGGCAGTCTGCCAGTGGAGATGGAGAGAAGGAAGTGGATTCAAAATATATTTTGGACATAGGATCCATATGCCTTGCTGCTGGGAATGAGGGAGATCTAAGGGGGAGGAGAAAGATCAAGGATGATATAGGTGTTTGGCCTGAATAACTGAGGGGATGGTAGTGCCAAAAAGAAGAATGCAGTGGGAGTGAAGTAAAATCAAAGTTCCATCTCAGGTACAGTCAGCATGTGATGCTTGTGAGACAAGAAGGCAGCAAATTTGTTCTCAGCCTGTGTCTTACATAAAATGAATATGATGTTATAATACTAAGTTAATGCTCATATTCAGAACTGGTCTAAAGGAAAGAAAAGTTTAACTGTAAATTAAATGCACAATTAATTAAAACTGCAAATTAAATTGGTTACAGCTCTTAAATATGACCTCTCCTATTCATTTTCATGGTCCCTGTTGCAGCACTAAACATCTCTTACCCACACTAACTACAACTGTTTCCTAAGGATTCCTCGCCTCTGGTCCCTCCATCACTCAACTCAAATACCAGGATGATCTACCTAAAGTGCAATATAATCACATAATCTTTTGCTAAAACTCATATTCTGCAGGATAAATTTCAAACTCCTGAGCACAGCATTGGAAGTATTTCTAAACTTTGATCCAATCTACTGCCACCTGTGTACTGACTCTGCCCCTCCACCCAGGCACAACAAAATAATCTACCCTCTACCCACGCAGGACCACCATTCACCAAATCTTGCATTTTCAAATCTCCAAACCTGTGAACAGGCCTGGGATACACTCTCTCTACCCTTCCGCTAGACAGTTCTAGTCATCCCAGTTCAAAGTTAGGTTCTTCCAACTAATTTCTTCCTCTGGGCTTCTGTAGCATTTTGAAAAAAGTATGTCTGCCTTTCCATACATACTCAGAGGATCATACTTAGGGGCCCAGGCATGAAGCAGCTGCTCCATCAAAGTTAGCCAAACAAGAAACTAAGGAAATCAGATTATGTACAATGAGCACTTAAATCTTCACTTGAAAATTTTATTTGCACCGTCAGAGTTAGAATTATTTTCCCAACTTTGGCCTTTGAAGTGGGTTATGTTCTATCACTAAAACTATGAAAACTATCTTCAGTACTTCAAGCCAATTTCTTTCAGTCATTAATATATCATCTGGATTTTTTCATCCTCTGCCTTCTCAGAAGTATCACCTGGAGTTTTGTGAACAATTCTATTTCCCAATTATTTAGTCTCCTGAAAATAAAAGAACTATGAGAATTCCATGTTTAAAACAGAATTTATTGCCCTAAATGCATAATCTTCTATTCTGAGCAAATTAGATGGCTATAATAATGTGCTGACTCTGGTAGCTCTTTATAGTTTGGCTTTTATTGAGGGTTTTCAACTCCAAATATGAACTACATGGAATTCCAGAAGATGATACAGAACAAATGAATCAGATTAAAGCGGAAACAAAATTCAACATCTTTTTATTTGATTCAACTCAATAAACATTTACTCAGTATGAGGGAGATCTTCAAACACAGGGGAGAAAAAAACACTACAATACTGTAAAGTAATTAGCCTCCAATTAAAATAAATAAATTTATATTAAATAAAATAAAATAACAATGTTAAAAAAAACACAGGGGGAGAATCAAAGTCTTAGATCTCAAAGATTTGCCAACTTAAAAATGCACAATGTGAAAGCTGTAATTAAGTTTTATTTGCAGCAAAATGAGGACTATAGCCTGAGAGACAGCATTTCAGATAGCTTTGAGAAACTACTCCAAAGCGGAGAAGGTCAGTATATATGTGATTTTGGGGAAGGAGAAGTACATGCAATCAAACACTTACTTTTTGCAGGTTTCTGCTACTCATGAAGGAGCAGTCATCACCATTAAGAATTTTTGTGCTTTTCTAGATATGAGGTAATACAAGAACTGGGCTCATAAAACTGACTTCTAAAAATACCTAAATATCTGAAGATCTGTTCTGTCAATTTTTCCCAGGGCACAGAATGCTTCATCTCTGCTCTCCACCCTGAATTCCTTTCAGGGGGTGTTGAAAATCAGCTGCTGCAGTAGCACATGATTTAATCCTTGTAGAGGTAGATGGCAAGTGCCCATGACAAATGCCAATTTGTAGGTTACAGGGCTCCCTCATGGTTATAACTTTGATCATGTTTTGGGAGGCATTTCATGACCATTTCATCCCATGGTGCTAGAAAGGCTCATTCCTAGGTCTGATGAAGATTTTGCTAATAGTCCACTCAATGTGCTACTATTGGACTAGATCTTATTTAACAATAATCAAAGGTCTCCAGACCACCTGTCTTACTAGTCTATTATGATCCAGGAAAAAAAAAAAAACCTCTTATTGTATCTACCCACGTCTAGAGTTATACCATTACAATCATTGGCCACATATAGAACTATATATTTTGTCAGAGGCTCAGTCACACATCTGGTAATGCAAAAAACAATAATCTTGTAAAACAGGCAAATCCAAATAACATAGCATAACACAGATAGCAGTACTTTTGGGCTGGTGGTTCAGACAGTAAAGAATCTGCCTGCAATGCAGGAGACTCAGGTTCAATCCCTGGGTCAGGAAGATTCCCTGGAGAAGGGAATGGCAACCCACTCCAGTATTCTTACCTAGAGAATTCCATGGACAGAGGAACCTGGCAGGCTACAGTCCATGGGGTCACAAAGAGTAAGACATGACTGAGTGACTTACACACAAAACACAACAGCAGTATTATTAAAGTCATAAGCCAAGAACTTTCATTAGGTATAGTCCAGTGTATCTCCAGGTCATCTGACTTATTCTGCTCTGTTCCAAGCCTTATCTTTCAGGGAAATGATATATTGGCACTGTCCATAAGGCTCCCAGGCCAATTTCCTAGTATTATTAGGCTGGTTATCCTTAGTATAATTTAACTGATCCCAAGAAAATAGGGACCTTAAAACTTAAATGACCATAGCCTCGTGTTAACCTCATAAATCCACTCCATAATTGTGGCAGATTTTATTCCTTGGCTGAACTTTTGCTTGTTACTCTGATTAACTTGAGTAACTTTAGAGGGAAAATTTTTTTTTTTTTTTCTTTTTTGCCTGTGCTCATCTGTAGGATCTTAGTTCCCCGATCAGGGATAGAACTC